CTCCTCACCATGGCCCCTCCACATAATCTAAGAGCAAGAGAAGACCTGAATAAGGAAATTTATACTCTGTATAAACATATGGATATTGGATATGACAAAATTTCTAAGTCTTTAGGTGTATCCAAGTCAACTGTTGAGTCTGTGGTCAAAAGAGCTAAATCTAAGAGTAGAAACACTCACTATACAAAAAGAGGTGGAAGACCAACCAAGATTACCGACATAAAAAGGAAGATAGTGGAATCAGTTATCGATGCCGAGACTCATTTAGTGTCATGCAACATTACCAAAAAAGCAAATATTGGTCTTGGTAAAACCACTATTGATAAGATCATATCAGAAGCTAGTTTTAAGCTTCTGATACCTAGGAAAAAGCTTTTTTGGAGAAAAGGACAAAAGGAGAAAAGAAGGGAGTTTGCTAGGAGAAGGAGGAACTGGAAAGGGGCATAGAATTGGGTTGTTTTTGTGGATGAAGCCACCATTGTTTATGATCCAAATCCAACAGGCAGAAAGGTCAGAGTTAGACTTGGTAAAGAGCTGGAAGAAAAAAACTTAAAGCCTAGCTTTAAGTTTAGAAGTACTAGCATTAGAGTATATGCTACAATGATGAAGGGAGGAAAGACTGAGTTGATTCTTATGAGAAAGAGGAGAAAGGAGGAAAGAACTAGTAAAAGAGACAGACTTGGCCTAAACTCTCACCAATATGCAACTGAGATCCATCAGCCTTACTTTATCCCTTTTATAGAGGGTCTGAATAGACCTTCTGAAAATATCTACCTTGCTGCAGATAATGATTTCTGGCATGGTGGTGAGGAAAATTGAAAATTGGAAGTAGACTGTGGTTACAAAAAACTCCCTTGGCCACCAAACTCACCAGATCTCAATCCTATTGAGAACACATGGGCACTACTCAAAAGAGCCCTTACTAAGCGATTCTCCAGACTCGAAAGAAGACCTCATAGTGCATCTGAATTGTTTGAGCCAGCAAAGGAAGAGTGCGATTTAATTCCCCAAGAGAAATTAGATGGATAGATAGATAGGATGCCTGAGAGAATGTAAGCTGTACTGGATGCAAATGGAGGCCATACAAAATAGTAATAATGTTTTTTTATTGTCTGCTAGCAATACTATCATGTTTTCTTTAATTGAATTCTTTACATTTTTTTTGAAATTTTTATGGTTGGAGGTTGTAGTTGTACGGTTGCCATGCGAGGGTATGAAAACTTTCCGGATATGACTATACCTAAATACCCATTTTCTCCTCTTTCCTGCTCTCCTCTAAACAGCAACCTCATCTCCTCATATTGCCTTCCTCCTCCACATCTCTCTTATTCAGTGCCTATGAGATAATGCCTATTCCAATCTCTCCTGAGCTGGATCCTCATCCAAGTAGACCCTTTCTTGTACTAACTACTTTTTAAGATTCCTTTGTGCAAATCTTCTCTTGACTGTCAGCGAAGAAACATTGGGAGCAACTTTTTAGGAAATCTCAAAATAGGTAGTATTACAATTTTCAAGAGCTTCTTCTACCATAGCATCATCCTGTAACTTGGTAGTCTTAGGATGTCTTCCTCTACCCTTCTTCTCCTTACCCTCCAAGTCTTCGTTTGAGATTATGTTTTTAACAGTTATGAGGGGGATATTGAGATAGTCAGAAATCTGCTGATATTTCATCTGAGGCTCGTATAACTCAAGAATTCTCTTCTGAGTAAACTCAGAGAGGTGATAAGTTGGAATAGGTTTTATTAGATGACTGCAAAGAATAGGAGGCATAGTATTTAAAGAAAAAAGAATCAGATAACATGATTGAGTTTTAGTTAAGTTGATGAAATTTCATTTGGTAGAGTTGAAAATGGGTGGGGATGATGGGCAATATGTTAAAAATACTGAGATCCGATACCTAGAAACCACCCTAAGTAGGGTAACCACATCCAGAATCAGAATTACTGGTCTCCAACATCCCCCTCTGGCCTCCTTATGGGGCCCCCACATTATCATACATAACTATCTTTGTTGAGTCCTGTAACTATATGGCCACAGAATTGAAAATGTTAGAATAACACCAGATACATTACTGCCGTCTGTCCAACCATATCCTGTTTGCAGGATATATGAGAGAGGACCTTCAGCTAGGTCTGGGAAGTGGAATAAAGTAAATGTGTCAACTACTCAGAGAGTTATTAGGCTTCAAATATGTGACATCTTTGGAATAGACTGTAAGTAACAGGACATTTTTGCACAAAGATATTGTATTGAAATATGTGATGTATTATCTAAGCATGAGTTAGGATTTTAAATAAGCAAATATAATTTTAAACTATTCAAACTTTGATTCCCACTACCAGTATATTATTTTATGCCTTATATAAAGCTTTGTATATGTAATGAACAACATATTATATTAATCAATTATCCTCTTGATCCTGTTATTTCTTCTACAATAAATTCACCTTTCCCTCAGTTCCTTTTTTCTATTAATAATGAATTCTCAAAGTAGCTCTCAAGTGGATTTAGTTAATTCAAACATGTTGCGCATACAAGCCTGGAGAGTAAGAAAGCAACAAGAATCAGTTAAAGTATGATAAGTATTTTTACTATGTACAAACTGTAGTGGTTGTACTACTTGGAACAGAGCTTTAGAGATGATGCTAAAGTTTAGGTATTGGGATTTGGAACAGGACTCACTAACACAAAATTGTATTGGGACAAAAATTTCTGAACTTTTTTTTTTAACTTCCCAATCCTGTTTTTATAAGAGTTAGCACAATGAATACCAACTGTGAAGTCAATAATAGAAGCCACAGTACTATACTTATTTAGGCATCTGAGGTGAAAAGTATTGGGACCAGAGATGTAGACATGGAGTAAGATGTAGACTACTAATACTTTATTATTAATAACATACTTGTTGTGGATAGGGAAAATAAATGGCGAGCTTCGTCTCCTATATTATTTGGATATGTATAACCTTATTGAGAGAAAATTCAATGCAAAGATCACATAAAAAATCAGTCATAAAAAGCTGACAGGGCTGTGTATATGGGACACTATACTGCTGATACTGACCAAAAGCTGTTTTATAGGGATGGGACACTGCTGACTGACAGCTGACAGTCCCAAGTGGCATGACTACTATACTATATACTTAATATTCTAATTAAAGAACTATTGGGAATGGAAACTCAGAAGTGCAAGTAAAGTCTATAAGTACAAGTGCATTGCAAATGTGAAAACTTTGACAAAGACCAGCTACACTTAGGACTTAAATGACACCTGTAGATTTACCAGTACAGGTAGTTACTATACCTACTATGAATGAGCCACCAGAATTTGAATATGTAACTTATCTACAATTAGAATACAAGTTATAGCCTAGACGTTGAATGCTTCACAATAATGTTTACTCTCAACTGCTATAAATTCTTCAAGATGGATTTCAAAAAATTTAGAAAAAGGTTTCTCAATATCGACATATGGTCAAAATCGACCTACAGGTTTCTATTTTACATGGTATGATCAAGTATTCTTGTTTTTAAAGCTACAAGTTATGTAAGAGCAGGCAGTCTTAAATGGACCAGATACATTTATGGGAAAGGTAGCTCCACTACTATTATGCAAGAAAGCTAGTACAGAGAATAGCAGATAGTGGTAGATAGAGAAGATGAATTAGGGAGTAAATTATGTATCATAAGATTTTATGAATTACCAAGTGAAAGACTCCTGAGCCAAAACAGGGCAAGTATTGTAAGATTATATTACTGCTAGATGATGGAGATTGTAACATATTTGCAGGTGCTAATCACATTTTGAGGTAAGGTACGATAGTTGACAGATAGCCTGCTCTTCCACAGATGAGGCAGGAGCTGTAAACTAAAGAAGGCTTCAAAGGTGTACTGGGAAAACTTACAGAAGTAATCATTCAACCAAGTATATTGAAATACCGTCTGTCGAAGTCTGCCTCTTCCATCGTGGAATCAAGTAGTCTTTAAATACACAAATCTGTTCATGTCTTGCATGAACTAAACTACTCAAAGGTATCAAGTAATATATTTTGATAAAACAACTTAAGTATCAAAACGATAATTAAAATAAAATATAAAATAAAATCAAGTATCAAAATTTAATGATACTTAAAACAAAATATAAAACAAAGCCAAGTATTAAACGATACTTAAAACAAACCAAGTATCAAAAAAAAATACTTAAAATAAAACATAAAATAAAATCCTTAACTAAGTATCCATACTGGTTACAGAGATACACTTCTTACAGTTCATGGATATATTGTTAAAACTAATAATAGTAAGTATCTTATACCTATTCTAATAAAAAGTAATAATAATTATCAGATAATATTAACAAGTAATTATGAGTAGAACTCAATTCAAGAAACCTTGCTAAAGCTGTTGTTATGTATTAGAAATCCTCAGAGTCAAATGATAAGGATCATGTAATAATTACGTTATAATAATTATTATATTATTACTCAAATTTGGATTTAAAATTTAATATATTTTTCCACTAGATTATAAGGTAGGGTAACACTTTTGAGGGGCATTACAGTTGGAATCATGGAAAAATTGTGTCATCTTTTATGAGAAACTTATCATATTATGAATGTAAGGCTTCCGGAACCACACCTAGCTTGAGAAAATTCTCTGGGAAAAAAAATCTTAATTCTACTTAAGTCCAGTGTAGTCCTTTTTACATGCTCAAGACATGGGTGGCTTTCGTCATTGGAATAGGACTGCCTGTATCATGCCTGAACACACCCAAATAAATTGGTATCATACGATCAGCGCCGCTGGCGAGTTATCAACCACGACGTGCAAACAATAGACACCGTGAAGTAGGAAAGCCGATCTGCAAGTATCACATCAAAAGACGGAGTCTACAACTACCGACGGAAGCACAAAACGACAGTTTGCACTAGAAAAATCGGCGAGTGAGTATTTGTGATTCACAACTTGACTTGAAAGTATGAGTTTTTGAAGTCACTATCATTCGAGAGATGAGATGTTCAATTTCCTTGTCAAAACGAAAGTAATAAACAAATAAAGAAAAAACAAAATTCGTCGAAATTCATATCATCCTATCATATGTCCGACCCGCACATGATGCGTGGTCTACTTCTGGGCATGCTTCTCATTAACCAACACAATCCTATACCTGGGTTCACCCCTCTCAAAGGCCTGCAAGGCATCATTGACCTTCTCCAACGGCCAGGGGTTCACCCAACTCTTAATACCCTTCCGTGCCGCCAATTCCAACATCTCCTCTATCTCTTTCGGACTACCGATAAGACTTCCAGTAACATGCACAGCCTTCATGATGAGCGGGAGTATGTTGAACCCGGGAACACTGTCCTCCGGTGCGCCGACCTGGATAAAAGCGCCGCGGTGGCGGAGGAGCTGGAGGTACGAGTCGATGGGGAGTTTGGGGGAGTTCACAGTGGACACGATCAGGTCGATGGTGTTGGCGTGCTTGCTTGCCCAGTTAGGGTTATCGTCAGTCGCGACGTAGTCGTCGGCGCCCATAGCGAGAGCGTCAGCCGCCTTGTTGGGTTTGCGGGATATGGCAATGACTTTGTCCGCACCGAGGGCTTTTGCGAAGAGGACGCCGAAGTGTCTGTTGTTTATCAAGTTAGTATTTAGGACTGGGCGGAAAGGGAGGGATATGTGTGAGAAAGGGACGAGCATACCCTAAACCTCCAAAGCCGATAATTGCAACAGTCTTTCCGGGTCCGCAGCCATTGCGCTTTAAGGGTGAAAACATGGTTATTCCACCGCAGAGCATGGGCGCAGCGATTTCACTAGAGAGTGCCTCCGGGATCTTGAAAACGAAGTGGCCAGGAACACGAGTGTAGTCGGCGAATCCACCAGTGGACATGCTGCCGTCGGGGTACTTGCCATTATAGGTTCCTACCATGTCCTTGCACTACTCCCACCTCATGAGCAACTGTCTGAAGGAAGAAGTGTTGGTGATGGGAGGGTAAATACATAGGATTCATTATCAGCATTGCACTCACCGCACGACAAGCAGGAGCTTGCCTGTGCACCTACACCGACCCGGTCACCGACTTTGATTCCCTGGACGTTCTTCCCAACTTTCACTGCCGTGCCGACGATTTCGTGGCCGACAACAACGGGATAGCTCGTGAAGCCCCAGCCGTTCGTCAGGGTGTGGACGTCAGTCCTGTTACGCTAGTGTCAACAATTGCATTGGTAGGGGAGGAGAAAGAATATAGAAGGGAAATGATGTTACCCGCAAATACCACAATGGGTGATCCGAATATCCACATCGTCCTCCGTGAATCTCTTAGGCTCGATATCCTTATAGACAAGGTTCTGCTTCTCGATACAATCATTGCTCGAACCAACCCATCCCTTGAAAGAGTATTCTGTAGACATCTTCTTAGAATTGGGCTTTGCTTTCTCGCTGTTTTCGTCGATTTTATCTTTTTTGTAGTTACTGATGTGCTTCTCGCTAGGTATAAGATGATCTCTGAGAACTTGCAATCTCTGGAGTGGGCGAGCAGGTCTATTTGAGCCCTCCATTCCTTATCTTCCTTCACTCTTTCTTTCCGGGCCCGCCCAACTCCAGAGAGGGGGGGAAAGCCCCCACAAGTTTAATTCCCTCAATTCCCTTAATTCCCTTAATCCCGCTTATTTCCTGGTAGGAGGAGGGGGAAGGGGGGAAACCCCAAAAAAAAACCTCTACGGCAATTGCACTAATGCCGTCCAAACTCCGCCGCAGTAAGACACGGTACCCCTTAGTCAAAAGTGCAGAGCAGTGCGCCGGGGCTGTAAGTTAGTCGGCGAGGTGCAGTACAGTATAGCATCGTTTATTTCTAGGCTTAGATGCCACCTTCGATCCTTCCGTGTTTCCTCCCTTCTTCCCTCGCTCACTTGGGAAACCCGGGCAAGAATCCATTGATATTGCGGATTTTACAATTGGGAGCTTAAAGGTTGAGCAAAACTTCCGCTCTCCCTTCAGGTTTATTCCTCTGAAAATTGATTGATATTAAGGCGGAAGCGGTGAAGCCTTGGGTTAATAATGAGCAGTCTGAAAGGTCAGTGCCGGCCCGAGTGCCCAGCGGTGTAAACCAAAATGGGCGGTAAGTGCGTTCAGCATATTGCATTGCTGCAGACGCCTCCCTAGCCCAGACAAGAGAAGAGGATAGGAAGAGATAAGCTGGAAGCTTCTTCTGATATAGCGCTCGTGCATGTGGAGACTTCCATTTGCTGTCTGAGCACCTCTTGTGATTACTCGTAGATGTGGAGAGCATATCAAGGCTTGTTGGGTGTGCTGAGCACCGTATTTACTCTTTAGATGCGCTATCTCCGTTAGGTTGCTGTTCGCGGGACTTGTCAATTCTTGAATTATCCTGACGGCCCCCGTTCTGGCGTCCACCAGCTGGTCTAACTGCCGGTATCACCACGATGGGCATCTGGCAATCCACTACCCTAGAATATGATAAATCCAAAATTAAGCAAAACTAAACAAAGATCTCACCCCAAAAACAAATTACCCAATCCCCGCACATTAGTACCGAGCCAGTCAGAAAGCTGTGCCAATTCCTGGCCATCACGTATGCTCAAATTTGTATCCAAAAACTCAAAGCGTTCCGTCCCGCACAACCTTACCACTCCCTTGCCGCAAGTTGTTGCATAACCTCCCCTCTCCCCTAAGCGCTTAGAGACAAAAAGCTCTTGAAAGGGATTAGCGCTTTCCTGACACGGGATAGCTTGAGCCCCTTGGCTTTGTTTGACCCATTAACTGGTTTTGGAGATTTCGTTAGCTTGCCAAACTAAACCTATCCTGGGCTGCTGATGCCAGAATCAGCGACTTACCGGAGATAGCAAATCTCCAGAGTAAATACGTACGATAATTCCGCCGAACCAAGTGAGAAAGAGAGTGGATTACAGTACGACTACCGTTAGTCTACTCTTGTGGAGGATTAGACTATGTACTCGAGTACTTGATAGGGTGGCGAGAATGATAGGGTGGCGAGAATCACCCGCTCTCTCTACTGAGTCAACCCTCTCATTAAAGTCAAGCACCACATCTCCGAGAGAAGTGTTGGTACCATCTCGCTACCATATCCTTCTCGGCACCATGTCAAAACGGTCTAGTCGCGGTCAATACTGCTCGAGCACTTGATCATTAGGGAGGTTTTGTTACGACCGTCGTAACAAGAACTGTGCTTATTTTTGTGGCGAATTGTGAATGTTGCAACATGGTCAGAACACTGGCGTTTTGCTAAGCACAGTACAAAACTGGGTGTGGGTTGAAATCTTTTCTCCTAGCGTTGGTGCAAACTATACGTAAACACAACCTCTTTACGACCGTCTTATTTAAAAACTGTTCTTAAGACTGTGCAAAGTTGAGCCACCGAGCACTATCGCACATGTGGAAAGGTTAGTGCCGTTGCTGTGGTGATAAGGAAAGTCCAAGTTACGACCGTCTTAGCAAAACCTCCCTATTAGGGCGCGTCTGGTCGTCCAGGGCTCTTCATAATCATAAAATGTCGAATAATCATAAATTGTCCTATGATAATTGACCTTCTCAAGTTCAAAGAGAAGTGTCTGGTCGCCAAGAAAATCAATTCAAAAAAAGTCACAAAAAAACCAGGATAATTATTATGAGGAACATTTTGGCACTTGCATGGTGATACTTATTTTTTATTTTATTTTATTGCAAAGATTAGTGGTTGTAGTTGGTTACACACCACGTTGTGGTTGGATATAATACAAGTACTGTACTGTACAGTACAGTACTCGTACCAACCCCTCCCACACTAAACCCAATGTAACCAATTTTTGTAAGGGCTGTGCTACAAAACTCGGTAGTCTATCAGCGCCATCAATCCAGTGCCCACAAAGAAGCCAATAAAACTACCCCCCAAACCGCATATAATGTCGGTGGGGGGGTTGGGGGGAATAGCTGAAAAATATTTCCAAAGTGGCATGGAAACGCATGTTTAAGTACTGTACCATCTCATCCTTCTGGTTACCTGGCCCTCACAGTTGAAAAAGATGAGAGATTCCCGCAATGGATATAGTGTCCTGATCTTAGTGGGCGGGGGTGTTTATGCGCTGTGGGCAATATGATCTAGGTGTTCGGTTTTGAAGAAAGGAATTGTATTGAACTTAGACAGCGGTGAAGCTGACAAACAATAAAAAATTAAGAAACGTCAATGAGAACCAGCGAGGAAGCAGACGGGCTCCAAGAATTGATTTGGTCTGGTGCATGCACCCACCCCTATCCGGTACTAACGGGTGCCGTGCTGGACCTAAAGCATAGTCAGCAGCAAGAAGTGGGGTTTGCAGGAAATGGATGCGACTCGGAGCCATTATAGATTCCTACCTCTCTGCGTTTTTATCACTTTCAGGTTTCTTGGCCTGCGACTCAGGGGTTCCACCAAACCTGCCATTGTAAATATTTACCGAACAAGTGGTCGAACTCGTAACATCCTTCCCGTAAAGGGCATATCGGTCATATGTTTCCTTCAATACATATACGCTGACCAGGGCATATAGCCAGAAGTTCTAGGTTCGCTTAAACTCTTTAACGTCGGCAACAAGATCCGCAATCTGAACTCCCATCACCGCAGTGGAGATTTCTATTCTCTGGATACGGATTTCAATTGTTCCATGTCGGCCCTCATCGCAGTAAAGTTCTGAAAACGTGTCAGTCATATAACAAACAACCGCCATCGATACTGTCTTACAGATTCGACAATAGGGTGTCCATCACCAGTTTGGGTTTGAGTTATCCCGGGTATGTGGTGGGAGGTGTCTGCCCCACCACAGTTTTCAAAATCCGCAACTCTCTAAAACCTTTAGTTAATATGAGTACTTGTGTACCCGAGCCAATAATGGGCACCTCTCTTAGAACAGCGCACCCGAACACATAAAAAGTATAGTGTTCAAGCTGCTTGACAAACTGTACGAGTAGTCGTCGGGCACAAGGGGTGATAACTTGCCAGTGCACTTATCTGAAACCTGCGCTGAAACACACGGGGGGATGGGAAAAAATAACGCGGTGTAGAATCTTCGGAATTGGCATTGTGCGAGGCTTTGCGTTGTTCTTGTCAATGTTTGAGGTCTTTCATTGTAGTAGTTATGGAGGGTTGTGGAGTTGTGGTTGCAGTGTCCAAAGAATTTTCTCTATGATATCGGCTCATTTATACTCTCTCTCCAGCCCGGCCAGACTAATGCTAGCAGCCGAGAGAGAAGGAAAATCAAACCACTCATACCGGGAATGGGCTCGCCCACGAGAACAGGCTTCGGACGACACTTGCATTCAAGCCATCTGGAGCCTGGCGAATATTAACCACCCCTCCACCCTACTCCCCGGAGCCACTTCCACTCCCTCCGAACACCTCTCTCCTCCCCCCGGACCTCCAAACATCTACCCCGGTATTAACTGCTATCATACCTCCACCCACGTTCCAAAGTTCCACGTGAGCCTGGTTACCCCGCCGATTGTGCAACAAGTCCACCCCGGAAGAAAACTTACACCACCCTAAATAAATTTAGCATCTATCAACTTCACGGTATGCCTCTCGCGCGGACCCTCATACCCCACGACCTCTCCTCTGGGATTACTGCAGCTCTGGTGGTGATCTGGATAACCAACGAACCCAGATTCTGCATCTTTATTCTCAAAAGCCTATTCCTGCAGTGTGGCATCTAGTTAGTTAGCCAGTGGGACTGGGTCAAGATCACTTCCCCCAGAAGGCATATTTTCCATGTCGAAAGCCAGGTGAGGTGGCCGCAATCGGTGTTAATGTTTAGGTGACGGAGGAAAGGCATGGGAGAGGAAGGAGTGTGCTGGATTGCTGTCGAAAAACGAAGAACTGAGAATGCACTGTTGACTGCTACATAACTACGGTAGTCCAGTGGAGGGCAACTTCCAATCACCAAAAATCACTCGATTATATACTCTCCACAAGATTGCAGCTGCTAGATTGATAATACCTGTGAAAGAAACTTACCTCACGAAGCTCTAGAGGAAGGTTATAATGGCAGCGAGGAATCAGAAGGCAGTGGAGACGAAGAGAGTAAAGAAGATCTTAGAAAAACACACTAGAGAACCGAGTATGAGATGAGTTCCCAAATGACCGTCGCTGAAGTCTAACAATCATATAGTATGAGTAAGTTGCGGAAAGGAAACCTAGTCCCACCACACCCCAAAGACGGCGGCGGGGAATAAGTCGGGAAAAGCCGCGCCAGGGCCAAGACGAAGACTGCCAAATGGATAGATCCAGTGACGATAGTGAGGACACCGATGGGGACGGAATCAAGGACGATGTAGGTGAAAGGAAAGCCGCGAATTGAGAGAATAATAAAATTCCAACAGGCGAGGGCGGTACCATCCATAGTGATTCATGCTCTTGGAAGAGAGGAGAATAAATTTTCTGGGTTCAAATTTCTCGGCCATTCGACCACAAAGGAGGAGGTAAGTGTTAACCGCGGAATCAAGGCTGTCGATGGTTCAAGCTCCGATATAGAACATGGAAACAGATCCGAAAAATGAGGCGATATGGAGTGGGCAAAGGGACGGCAACAGAGAGGACACCGCCGATACAGAGGGAGACTTGCTCAGTGATCAGGATGGGGAGGGGGTGAGAGTAGTGATGAGGGCGCCCAAAGTCAGGAAGCCAAGCCTAGCGAGAAGTTAAAAAGCTAATCACCAAAAAAACAGATGTGAGTCTCTGTGGATAATAACCATCGGCCTCCGAAAGTTTCACAGAACTGTTATTGCAAATATTTCCAAAGCCGGCGAAACGGATACCGGAAAAAGCACAGCAGTCAAGAAATAGCAGGTGTGTAACCCCGTTTTGGAGCCTCTCTCGCGTATGGATCTGTGATGACATCTAGTTATAGGAAATGTTTGACCCGCTTCAATGTTTCCATATCAAACCCCAGAAAGCCATTCTGGCAACTAACTCTTTACCTACCCCTTCGCAGCCTGCGCCATCACCCAACCCGTACCGGAGACATATAAGGCGGTAGAAGATGCGGCATTGAAGTTTTGGAACACCTACATCAACCTCCGATGTGAGCTATGTTTACTCTATACACTAAACTAAAGCGTGATGACACTGTCGCATCCACCCTCCTCCCCTTTGCGGGCTAAGATGTAAAGCTTTGTAGCAGAAGTTCACTCAGACTCTAGATAGTCTGAGTGAAGTGGATGGCTGTCAGGTACCGTATGTTCTTCTCTTACAGCTCTGCTCGTTCCCGGTTGGGGTGGGGGAGTTAGCGCTGGCGAGAGTGGGAGGTCTTGGGATGATGCGCAGGGTTAGGTGCAGTACTATGATAGGCGCGGGCTTTTTGGTGGTTGGTGGTTGGTGATTAGGTGTACTTCTTTCTAATGAGTGCGCTAGGTGAGAGTTGGATAATTGCATGGGGATGATATGGTTCGTGCAATCCAAAACGTGCACCAGGCTACAACTCGTCAATTGATTATATCTCACTATCAAGATCTGCAATTGCTTCAAAAAAAACCCCACCAGGCTATTCTCTTTAGTATTCCCAATACCCTAGTGGTTTTTTTGAAGCAATATTTTATCTTAGTGGAGGGGTATATCATCATTTAAAAATGCTATCATAATTGCTGGTGTACGTTTTGGATTGCACGAGCCACAACATCTCGGATACGGCAATGACGCTTCGATTATCTTCAGGGTTGCAAGAAGTACGGTACCCCAAGATACGGTAGCTAACAATTATTCCCAGCAAGATCCCGTCACACAATCCCAACCCCTGATATAACAGTCCCACCAAAACCCCTTCTCCCCCCCATGCCCTATATATGGTTTCGGACAATCAAAATCGGCCGCCGGGGCCTAGTGATCCTAGGAACGAGTAATATGTGATGATGCAGCTTGGTGGGCAATAAACACTTTGACCTAGTGTGGATTAGATCAAGTCTCCCTTGCTTTTTCTTCTTTCTTCTTTTCCTTTTTCCATACATATTTTTTGCTTTACCCGACTCTGGTAAATCTGGGATCACGGTATATTGCTCGCCCTGAATTCTTTGACACCTTGGGGTATTTTTTCCGCCGGCCAACTCATCGGGTGCCATGCGGGATCTGCTATTTCTTACCCTAGATATCTCTCCTGAGAGTCCTTTTCCGCCAATTTCCTTCCCTAGATATTTTTGCTAGACAATATTAAGCCGGACTGCCAGCCAGATTTCCCATATCTGTGGTTTCTATTGCATTATGGTAGATCGCATTGACCAATGTATAGATAGGGATAGGTGTGGGAATATTTTGGTTGTTCGGCACTATAACCTATGAGCTATGATACGTTGCCAACTGTGGAAATTATCCGTATTTGGGGGGTAACTTATGAGCCATACTCTGGACGTATTCGCTCTTACACCTTCATATCGTACCCCCAAAGTCCTCCATCAGCCATCGAAAGGTTTCTGCAAACCTCGGCATGCCTCTCAATTATAACTATACCATCCTATCCAATTGTCCTTTGATCTTTTGTTCACAAAACATTTCTGTCGACTAGTCCAGCACGATCTTGTCTATCCTGCAGCGACTATGTTTTGCAGCAATTTTCTTTCCCTTATGGACCATGCACCATAAGAACTCGAATAGTTAAACCTCGAGCTATGGCACCCAAAATTTCCTCTCTTGGATAGGCAGGTGCAAAGGGTGCGGGATCTGAGCCCGCAGGCCCCAGATTAAGATAAAGGGAAAGTAAAGAAGTGCCGCAGGTTGCCAGCAAAGCCAATTCCCAAGTCCTAGCTTCAGGTTCAATTATTCAAGTTCTTACAGTGAATCGATCTGACCACCAGAAGATCAGGCATCAGAATAAGAAAGCCGGACAGAAGATGGATATTCACCAATAGTGTGAGGGCCTACTACACGCCTAAACTATGGTATCATAACCTCTTTACAAAACCTACCCTATGCCCAACTCAATAATACGTTGTATTCATGGTACGATACCCGACGCCAAATTCCTCTTCCCATGCCATCCAGCTCTAAATTATCAGTCTCTCGGGTAGCTATTCCGCGGATATCGTACCTCCTTGCTTCCGGGTTGTCCCGCCTCCGTGCCCTGGGTTGGCTCTTCGTAAATTTAAATCTGACTAAGGCCGGTCTCCACCGACAAACCAAGCCAACGAACAAAAGAGCCGACTCCCCCTCTTGCTCCCTGAGACTAGATATTTACCGTATTCAGACGCTTGGCACCAGTGCGGGTAATGATAATGCCGAATATCATACTACGAGTAACGTATCGGGAGAATTCGAATAATGGGACCATGAGGTTGGAGTTGCCTCCCCTAGTAAGGTCTCAGAAAGCAGGTTTTTTGATGTGTTTTCGCCCCATTTCCAGAGGAGGAATACTTTCCAGTATGATATGAGTGCCCCCGTTTGCGAGAAAACGAGCAGCGGGGGTTTTGACGACATGTCACACAACCTTGGCACGAGTACCATTATTTTCTTAACCAGATCTCTTGGGCGCAGCGCCCGGCGGACTAACCGGTACCGGTGCCGGTACTATAGGTACTCGTACTCGAGTGCTGCGAGAGAGATTGTGGGTAATTTTAGACTATGGTGCTGAGAGGGCTTGACAAGATACAGTGGAAACCAGCGGGCTTAAGTACTCGTACGAGGGTGCGGAAGAAAGTGATGGTGAAAACCCGATTAGCTGCTCCCAGATAGCCCGTGGCAACGATTGGTCAAAGTGGCGGTTTTCCGATGATGTGAGGAAAGAAGTGATCGGAAAACAGGTCACGTGCGTTCCAAACACTTACCATTACACCCTCGTACAGTAATGTACATGATCAATACAGTAGTCTAATTGCCCACTGTAGTCTATACGTCTGATAAATACTCGTACACTTAGCCCAAACGCCCACATCCCCGCAGTCATTGATACTATGATAGTAGACTATGATAGTCTAAATTTACTCGAGTAGGTACTCGTAGATGATCCTTCCATTAAACCCTAACCCATAGAAACCCATTGATTTTTTTTTTTCTTTCCCACAACCGACGTCACTTCATAAACTTCAACTCCCCACTGCATCTAAGGTGGGAAAAAGAGAGAGAGAGAGAGATAACAGTCTACAAATCGCTACCATCAAACCAACAAAACACCCCACTTCCGCCAAACAAAATCGCCGAGCATGCCACCAAAACGTTCACTTGCGCCAGCGGGCAGTCCTCCCCAGCGTGGTCTCATTTCGTCGTTCTATCACGGCATCAAATCCCCCGAAAACGCTTCCGTAGTAAGAAGTGTCGCCGTATTCGCGGTAGGTTCCCAACCTCACCTCCGATATGTGTGTGTGTATCCCCTAATATCATGGTTACTAATGATGGTGACGGTGATGAGGTGTGTGTGGATTAGGCTGCTGCGGCTTTTCTTTCTTCTTCGTGGAGTGATTACTTGCTTCCTCCGTGAGTTGTCCCCTCCTTCCCTGGTCGATGATTTGGCGAGGATTATTATGTGCACTGGTGGGGGCGCTCGGATAGTGCTGATGGGATAAACAGAGTTTAAGGCGACTGGATATGGATGCGGCTGTCAAGGTGGAGGATTGATAGACGAATCGCTTTCGGTATTTGTGGAGCGGAAAATTGGTCTTGCGCTAGTTTAGGCGGACGTGGATGTGTAACGCTCTGGTCGATGCCCTTATTGGAAAGCCCGCTATAATTAGATGGATAGGTACTGCTATGGAATTATCATTTGAAAAAAAAAAAAAACTCGAGAGCCGCTTTATAGCTCTTCGATGCATTACCGGTAGATTTGGCTGCCAATAGTCGTTTGCCTTCGTATGTTTACGGTGCTTTTGCTTTGGACTTTGCCGGCCTGGCACCCGGAGAATGCGGTTTCCCCCGGAATATAATAATGCGGTCATTAGGGGTTCCAATGATTTGATCCGCTTGCTCTTCAGGTTCCGATGGGATATCCGTATGACCAAGGTATGTATTCGTGGACCACCGTATATCACCGGTCCTAAGTACGAGTATGGAACTCCGGAAAGCAACTGTATCATACCCCTCGACTACATACATTCCCGAAAGCTAAATCTAGCAAATGTGGAGGAAAACGGCAAATCATAGTTCCCTAGGATGGATATCTCCCTTCGGGCAGTTATGCCTGCTACCACTACTGATACCTATCCCCCAGGTAGAAAAAAGAAAGAAAAAAGCACTCATAAATCTTGCGGCAACGCTCACCCCGCCCAGTGCATAATTAATTGGTCACCGAATACCAGAACCGTTCAACAACCTCGTGCTTTGTTCGGAAGTTTAGCAGCGGGTATGGTATTATCATAGAGATATTCCTTTCCGCCCACGTCCTCCACATACACTGCGCTGCTGGCAGGCGGGCCGTGGGGAGAGAATGAGCGCGGCAGATTAGATCTAGATCGGGGGCTTTCGCTTTCCATAATATATTATTACATCGAATATCAAAAGATTTTCCATAGTGGCTAACTTTATTACTCTGTCCTAAGTGACATAATCGCTGCGGCTTTACCAAACTTGGGAGATCGACCAATGCATGAATATACAGGTGTTCTTGCTGTTTTTTTGAATAATAATAAAAAAAAACAAAGATTGCATCGTTCGCATCCTTTTGGAGGGAGATGGGAGACCTTTTTTTAAGTCCTATAAATTGAATTAGGCACAAGACCGGGACCCAAACACAGTATGATATGTGGCCTCTAAGTTATGCCACGAAAGGCTTAGAGCATCATAATTATCATACCAATAAAGTAAATTCATCACTGCCCAACAGTCCCCAATCCTATACTGTACTGGTAGACCCTCCGGTCCGAAACCGACCTCGCAATCCTCGCTCAAAAATAGGGGGCGGGCGCACTTGGGAGCGGGAAACACCGCCGGTAGACACCAAAATAATGGGAGGAAACTGTAATAACCAATTCCATTTTTCATCGTCCCACCCGAGAAGATCAGCAGTGCAACTCGAGTCTTGTTTTATGGAGAAAATGCTAACATATAACCCACTCTCAGATCATGGGTAAAAACCAACCCGTCACCCCCCCCGAGAGGTTTTGCGAGTCCCGGTTAATGAGATCCAAGACATCCAGTGGGCTAGTCTTACACAGTGTCAGAGCTTTTGTCTGAGGGTCCGGAGATTGCGGGGCTAGCGGGGGTGGTGGATTGCAAGAGTTTTCACGTTGGGCCGGGAAACCTAGATACTAACTATAAGGGATATTCGGCCCAGAAGCGCTGGCCGCTCAGGCTATATCGTAGGAGAATCCCCCACACAACTGTTCAGGCAGGCGACTCTCAGCTGGAAGCAGAGCGGATTGAATGACGGGGCGCACAGGGGGCTTATGGTTGGATTAGATAATGAATAGAGCAGCTGCTGGCAAACCCCTTCACTAGCAGCAGTGTCAAGTGCTAGAGGTAATCACAAACATATGAGTACTGTACGAGGCTGGCGACAAAAATCACCGGTAGCAACAACAAATCTCATCTCATGAACGGTCAACCATTTCAAAGAAACCACAATAACTCAATAACAGAAGTGGTGGAAAAATTCAAAAAAAAACAAGTAGAGTAGAGAAGATGAATAAGAATATAAAAAATGAATTAAAACTCCGTTTGCATCCCTTTCCGTTCCTTGACTTGCACTAGCTGTACGGGCATACTATCTATATAGTGGTTCCATGCAGATGGCTGTAAATGATCCCACTCTTCCTGAACAGCCTTTTTCAAGTAATCAATATTTCAAGGAAAGGTTTCCCATACCTTGATTCTTTGCTTGAGTATTCACCACACATTCTTGATGGGATTGAGGTCTGGCGATGAAGGTGGCCGATTATGTAGTGGAATTCCAAGAATGCTTTTGGTCTCTCCCAACATCCTACAAGTTCCATGGACTGGGGCTTGGTCTTCAATATACTGGGCCTCCAGGGAGGCATTATACTCAAGGAGATTCATGAAAGCTGGAGCAACAATGGGCTCGAGGACCTGCTGTGAATAATCCTTTACTATTACCCTCTTTGGTCCTGTACCATGAAGGAAGACAAGAGGGGACTTCCAACCATAGCTGATGGCACCCCAGACTATAAAGGATGCACGCCCACTATGGAAATTATGCTGCATGCAGTGGTCATGGTAGCACTCGGTCGGAAGTCGAGTAACCCAAATACTTCCTCTTTGAGACGTATCAAAAGTGCATTCATCAGAAAACATATGCCGTCACCACCACTCAATTGGCTTATACATATATTCATCAGCATAAGCTTTACGCTTCTGCTGATTCTTCCAATTAATAAAAGGCTTTTTACAAGCCTTGCAGGGAGAGTAACTCTCCCTCTGCAAGGCTCGCTTAATCGTCGTCACGGAAGCACTTAATCCTGCCTCCTGCTCCAACCTGCGCCAGCAGAGTCGTTGCCCATCCCAGTCCTTTTGGAGATGGAAGATCAGGCATCGTATATCGCGTTCTGAGAGGCAGTGGGGGTGTCCAGGGTGGTGGTGTTAATGGCATAGCTACTTGATTCTCCACCAATCACTTATCGTTTGTTGAGAAACTCTAGTCTGTCGGGCAATTTCCGACTGTGATAATCCAGTGTCCAGTAAAGTAAGGACTCTGGTTCGCATAGGGGTATGCCATTCACTCCAAGGATCGTTTCATGGTGGAGTAGTAGTCATTTGAGCTTGACGAGGAGGAATGTTATTTGGTTGCGATGATGGATTTCTACCAGTAATTTTTGTCGCCAGCCTCGTACATTTAAGCAAAAAGGATAACAATTGCCAACAACCACAAAAGTAAATGATTGGTCCCGAGGCTAGAGTATATGGTAGAGTATCCTCCTAGCTTCTTGAAATATATTCAATATTAAAATTCGTGCAATAATGAGTCCGTAATGATTATTTTTGTAATTTTAGCAAAATATTTTTTTTACATAGTATAATAGCCTGCCTCAATATCTACTTGTAAGCAAGTTTTGAAATATTTTCAAGCATACAATGTATAGTTATTATAAAGTAAAGTAAAATATCAATGTAAGTTGCATACTTTCCAGACATTATAAACCTGTTGTAAGTGAGTAAAATGCAACCATGCTAGAAATGAGATATTGGTATACAATTAATTTCACCTGAAAATATCACCATTGATATGTTCCTAAGATTTCTCCAAAATCATCCTTGCTTTTTCTTATTGCAAAATCCTCCTTTTATCCTTTATTCACTTTAAACTATCCTTTTCTCTAAATTGCTATACAATGAGCATGGACATAGACTCTTGTATTAATTCTTCAGACTTCAATTCTGATAGCTCAGTATTAGAGTCTGAGGATATAATTACAAATACTCAAAGTTTGTTTGGTACAGGTAAGTGTAAATTGATAATGATATATTTTTAAACAACTTTGATTCTAAAATCAGTTTTTTGAATTAGAAAGTGAAGATAATAATATAGTAGAGATATCTGAGTGGTGCTTGGAGTTATTCTTACACTCTTGTTCCTGCTTACAGGAATGTATAGGTAAGGCTGATCCAAAATTGTGGAAACAATGGCTATTCTATCATGATAAGCTATTTAGAAAGAAGAAGTGAATCATGATAATATATCTTATATCTCCTTAATTATCAAGCAACTTAATTGTACTGGATGAGTGGAAAATACAACATAATGATTCTCGTAAGCATAAGGGTAATCACAAGAAAATCAAGTATGTTCTGCCTTTTGTTGAAACAGTTTGCAGAGACGTTTTTACAGCTTTTTGGAACATATCCTTAAAAAGCCTGTATGGTTTAATTCACCATTTACATGCAGTACAAATGCCAATTCCTAAACAGCATGGCAATTACAATCATGCACCTTCTAACCAAATATCTAAAGAAGTAGTTACTAATGTAGAAAACTATCTCTTAAGATTAAGAGAAGAAGAGGGTGAAGCAATTGCTATGCAAACCTATAAGCGAAAGCTAACTGATAGGAGAATTACTACCTATATGAAGTTAGAAAATATTATATATCTTCCTTCTCATTTATCCTATAGCTGTTTATATAAAAGATATCTTCGGGAAAGAGGATATTCTGAGAATGAAGCTTCTCTCTCTTTTTCCAAGTTTTATCAGGTATGGAAGTCTCATGCAAGTTTATGCTTTATGAAAATTCATAAAGCATTTAAAAATGTGTGTAATGAATGTACAATTTTACAAAATCTCCCAAAGGGACAGAAAGAATAACTACCATTAGTCTCTTATAAATCTCAAACTAACAGTTCTTCAACTATAATCTCAGGAGTAAGTAAGAAACAGATACAGTTGGAAATATATAAACTATAGCACAGAGCATGTCGTACTGCATATGAGTTTGATATTGAGGAGGCTAAGGTCTTTGGATCTGAAACAAGTACATTTTCCATTGATTTTCAGCAAGTTGTTGAAATACCAAAAGTACCACAGCAGCCATCACAGTGGTACTATTGGTCATCTTTCATGTTGTATGCTTTTAGTATTGTCAATGATGCTTGTAATCAACATTATCATACAATGTTTACTGAGGCATAGTAGGGCAAAGGAGCTAACCAAGTTGTGTATATTTTGCATTGTTTTTTAACCTCTATTCTTAAACTTACATCAAAGATTAACCTCTGGGCAGACAACTGTGGATGTAACCGGTACGGGTACTCGGTTATTGGTTTTGTTTTATGTTTTGTTTTAAGTATTACTTTGATACTTGGTTTGTTTTAAGTATCGTTTGATACTTGGTTTTGTTTTATTTTTTGTTTTAAGTATCGCTTTGATACTTGTTTTGTTTTAAGTATCGTTTAATACTTGGTTTTGCTTTATGTTTTGTTTTAAGTATCACTTTGATACTTATTTAGTTTCACCAAAGCGTATCGATTGATACCTTTGATTAGTTTCGTTCATGCTAGATATGAACAGATTTGTGTATTTAAAGACCGCCTGTTTCTACGATAGAAAAGGCAGACTTCGACAGACAGTATTTCAATATACTTGGTTGAACAGTTACTTCTTTGTTCCTCAGTACATCCTCAAAGCCTCCTTTAGTTCTCAGCTCTCGCCTTCTCTCTGGAAGAGCAGGCCACCTGCCAACTATCGTATCTATTACCGATAACGTGATTAGCACCTTGCGAACACGTTACAGTGGAGGTCAAAATAAGAATAAAATAATGTTATGATATCTGTCTTGGTTTGTAGCAATACAGGATACACAGGAAATTAACTTCAGCTTTCAAATAAAAGGCCATACACGAAATAGTGTAGACAGAAGATTTGGAACTGTCAAGCAAAAAGCTAATTGAAATAAGGTATGGACTCCTGAGATGTATGCTAAACTTATTAATACAACTGATAAAGCAGGTGAGATCAAAGCTGTATGATTCTTTAATGATCCTGCTGGTACAATATTTTGAGATTGGGAGACTGCTTTGAGTTCATACTTAAAACCATTGAAAGGTATTCAAGGTTATCCCTTTTTCCACTTTACTGCTATAACTCTAAGTATTGTAGAAGTCAAAAGACTGCTACAAGATAAGTGGATAAAGATTGATCTTAGGAAAAGGGATTTTATTTTAGCCAACTTTTTAGGTATTGAACCTTGTGGTCTTATGGATACTGGCTTGAATCCTGAGAAGAGGCATGATCTCTGGAGTAAGTATTCCTCTTATGTTCCTCCACAATATCAAAATACCTGGTACTACTCTAAACCTACTGAATCACTAATTTTAAGTGTTCATGAGAAGAAAAATATGAGAGCGAGAAATGCAAAGAAAGCAAATCAAGGAGTAAGTAATGATTGCAATCAAGGAGAAAATAGCAAAATACAGGAAGCGGAAATTACACCTCCAGCATAGCGGGGGCATGGCCATCCTCCTGGATTGAAAAACAAGTGTAAAGAGATAAATTAAAGTTAATAATATTATTAATTCTGCTTACCCAGCAGTTATAACTTTCCTTTAATATATATTAATTATTAATTCTCAATTAAAATCTATTAATCCAAGGATAATTCAAAATATTTTATGTAGAATTATAAAAACAATAATAAATATTTTTTATTCTTTATTTTTATACTGCTTAATTTATTGGTTGTTGAATTGTATCAATTTATTTGTCAAAATATGTTTTTCCCTTTTTCTCAAGAAGGCTTTGGTTGCCATGCAAACTAAAAGTGACAATAACTCAAAACACCTAAAAAGCGATTGTACTCTTTTTCCCTTAACAACACCCATATGATAGGAGTTCTTTAGTTCCATGCATCGTAGTCACTGCTGGACTGAGAGGCTAACTTCTGATCCCATATTGAGGGCTAACCTATAAGCTTATAATGCCCTAGGTTCATCCTCGCCTGGCGGGATTGTGAGAACGAGTTTGGTGTTTTGCTCTACAATGGGATTTTAATCGCAACTAGGAAGATTACGAACATAAGGTAATCGGTTACCAACTAAGATCCCGATGGAATTTCCAACGCTGGGGAAATGCTGAGTATGATAGCGTGTATCCTCACAGCTTCCTTGACCCAATAGGTATACACAGCTCAGTAGATAGCGAGACGCCAAGAGCCGCAACGGGTACTGGAAAACCAGAAGGAGGGCGGTGTAGTACAGCACTCGCAAAATGGGCCCGTCTGTGACGACTCCGTAGTTAGTAATCTTATTACAAGGTGTTTGAGAAATCACTATTCCCAGTTAAAATGATCTCATCATTTATTGATCCGAGCGATTGCCGGTGTTACCCTTGATCGAGGGACGGGTGCTGCAGTCAGCACCCCTGGAATCAATGCATCGAGTGATATACAATGATCGAGACACGAACACCGCCACGCCCCCGGAGTGGAGACAGATGCACCATAATATACAAAGCCCCTCCGTCCATTCTCCTGGGGGGTGGTATTCCCTCCACCACACCCAAACCGACAATCTCCAACATCACTCGCCAAGCAAATAGAAGAGAACGAAAAGGAAAAAAATGAACGATTAGCCAGTAAGTATATCGTACATTCTCATTCAGTCTAAAATTTACGCAACTGGGAAAATAGTGATAACTGTACAGTACATGGGGTCCTCTAATACCCCTTTTTGTGGGGGGGAGGAACTAGTGAGCAACAAATGATTTGGGGGAAATCAAAAGTGTTGAAAAGAAAAACGGTAAACATACCTCAAGGAAGAGCAAAAAGGAAAGAAAAAAAGGAAACGGCCTCCATTCATACCCACTAATTAACCCCGAACCCAAGATTTTCAGACAAAAGAGATGAAAAGAAAAACCCATTAATCCAACCGAGCTATCTCATTTCAGTAGTCCTTCAATTTCTAACACTCACGCCAGAACGTTTATGATACATCCTAGCAGCGATGTTCATTGAAGCCAACTCTTGAAAGAGTAGCTTGGCGGCGTACGGGAGGTGGATTTGGGAAATTTTAGTCTTGTTGCGACACGGACGGCACTCGAAGAGGTTTTTCTTAAGATTCCTAAGCACACATTAGTAAAAGAGGATCCGAGGATCGTGAGGCTACTTACGCGATGGGCGTCATGAGTCCGCAGATATCACAGATGTGGACTCTAAAAGCATCCGAGACCTCGAAGAGTCTCTCTTTGAGAAAAGCGCTGGCACCGTGAGCGATCATACAATCGCGTTCCATCTCCCCGAAACGAAGACCACCATCTCTAGCACGACCCTCAACAGGTTGGCGAGTGAGAATCTGGACAGGTCCTCTGGCCCGAGCATGAATCTTGTCGTCAACCATATGTCTGAGGCGTTGGTAATAGGTGGGTCCTAGGAACACCTGGGCAACTAGCTTCCTACCAGTATAGCCGTTGTACATGACCTCGAAACCCCGAGACTGATAGCCGTTCTGCCGCAAAAGAGTGGATACGGAGTCAACTGTCACATCGCTGATTAAGAGGAGGGCCATTAGTCATGATAGGTGGATATCGGGATGGCTTGGAAGCCTTACGTGAAAGGGGTCGCGTCTCCTTCGAACCCTCGTAATGAAGAGACTTTGCTCAATTGGCACTCGATCAAGTGGGCAATCGTCATACGGGATGGGATGGCATGGGGATTGATAACTGTGACATGTTAAGAAAAGGACGAAATGGAGTATCATTTTAGAGGCCTTACTGAGATCAGGAACGATTCCTTCGCAAGTGAAGGGCATGTCTTCTTGTCTGTACGTAATACCGATCGTGCCCTAGTAACTGGAGTCAGCATTCGAGACTTCACTTCGCCGAGCATCCAAACTGAACCTTTTGTCCATGCCTAGAGGCAAATTTGTCTCCAATCTGTGGAATCTTAGTTGTTCTCATTCGGACTTTAACAAACTTCAAACCCTCAGCGTTTGTGGTAAGCATGACCTGGTCAACGATACCGTTCTCTGTGCTTCTAAGTGGTGTAGAAACGTCGCGTTTGGTATGGTATTTTTGTCTCTGGCCCATTTCATCGACATCAGGAGCGATTGGCGCTGTCTTGCCAATAATAATGTCCTCTCCCGAAACTCTCACACCGGGGGCGATCAGCCCATCATCATCCAATTTGTCATAGGTGCCGTGCTTCAGTTTAAGCGTGTTGTTCCTCGTTGGCTTCTCGAACTCTTCTACAATTTGCATTCCGATCCGTTTCTCTTGATCCATATAGGATCGATAGAACAAACTCCGGAACAATCCACGATCAATACTGCTCTGATTCATGATGACAGAATCCTCCTGATTGTAACCACTATAGCAGAGAATTGCGACTATAGCATTCTGACCGGCAGGAAGCTCTCTGAATTTGAGGAACTCCATCGAACGGGTAGTGGCCAACGGTTTCTGGGGGTAGTATAGAATATTTGCCATTGTGTCCATCCGTTCTGAGAAATTTGTCAAGAAGACACCCATGGCTTGCTTACCCATTGCGGATTGATAAGTATTACGGGGTGACTGGGAAGTTGTAGTAATTAGAACTTGCGCTCTAAAATAGGAAGGATGGAAGACGGGTTCAGCAGGAACATACCTGATTATGGTCGGGGAACGGAATAATACTAGCACAGATTCCAAGAATCATACTTGGATGAATCTCGCAATGTGTCCAGGTGTGAGTCGTAGAATTGATCGGCGCCTTCACCCTCTTGGCTTGGTCGGTTTCCTGCTCAATCTCATAGCCCAGTTGCACCTGTCTTGACAAATCGAGATCCTCAGGTGTCATAACAATCATAACACCTTCTTCTTCCTCTGCGTCAAGATACTCGACAGCTCCTGCAAAGAGCAGACCTTCCCAGCCAAATCTGTCCTCTATATCTAGTTGGTGATCGTCCTCAAGCTTTTCTATATGCTCCTTCTGCAGGACAAGTTGCCCTCGTCGCTCACTGCGAGGGTCGTTGTCTATAACGAAAAGCGGACGGCAAACCCGCCCGGCATCTGTAAAGATCTTGAACTCTCTGTCTCGGATATCACGAATGACGCTAACTTCGTGGCTGACAACACCTTGCCTTCGCACATCTTGAACGACCTTCGCTAACATGAGGGGATCGCGATGGGTTCCGACCCAGACCCCGTTAACAAAAACCTTAGTAGCATTGGGAGACCGCTGAGGCTCATATTCTTCAAGCAGCTCCATATCATTGGACGACAAAAAGTCAACCAAGGGGTATCCGGGAGTGCCAATCGTAATATAAGACATCAGAGACAGGTTTTTTACAAGGCCGCAGGCTTGCCCTTCAGGTGTTTCGGCTGGGCAAACCAGTCCCCAATGGGTATTGTGCAACTGGCGGGGCTTTGCGATTTTCCCATCCCTTCCAATAGGAGTATTGGTGCGCCGTAGATGAGAGAGGGTAGAGGCAAAGGTATACCGGTTCAGCACCTGAGACACACCCGCCTTGGAAGAGGCTGCTTTCTTTTGTTCGCCCCAGTTACCCGTTGCCAAGGAATATTTTAAGCCATTGGTGATAGTGTTAGACTTGACAGCCAAAGTCAGATTGAAATCTTTGCTAGTTTCAACGCATTTCTCCAGATATTTGTAGACATCCTTCGTGAGTTTTCTCCAAAGAGTCCGGAAAAGTCCTGCCAAAAGGGGCCCAGCCAAATCCAACCTCTTTTTTCCAAAGTGATCACGGTCGTCCACTTCCCGGCGTTCTAGAGCACATTGCAGCATCCTATGTACCATGTAGCCCAAAAAGAAAGCCTTCCTCGTCTCACTCCCCTCTTCCTGTGAGATATGAGGCAACAACTCCTTCTGCATGATGTCACGTGCATACCGGATACGCTTTTCTTTATTAATTCCCTGTGAGGATCCACGCTTGCCGATAAAATCAAGAGCAACCTCCCTGTCCTGGATAACAAACGCTTCCTCAATACAGGGCTTCATCATTTCAAGCATCTGCGTGTCGTTACGATCGTAGCAGACGTGGTTTAAAATGTCCTCATCTGATACAACGCCGAGAGCACGAAAAACAATAACGATGGGTATATCGCTCTTGATATACGGAAGGGTCGATTTGATGGTCGCATTGTACCCGCCTCGTGCCTCTCCCTTTGAAAACAACTTGATCTGCATGCTACTAATGAGCCGTGATCCTTTCTCCACTGCGCTTCGAATCTCAGCCACGTATGGTGTTGGTGAAGGTAGCGCTTTCTTGAACACCTGTACAATATTGGCGGCACTCCGCTCCTGGGCAATGAGGACTTTCTCTGACCCGTTGATAACGAAGTAACCACCTTGGTCGTAAGGGCATTCATTGAGACTATAAAGCTCCTCCTCCTTGAAATCCTTCAGGATGCAGTACTGCGATTTGAGCATGACCGGCATTTTGCCAATGAAGACTTTGGTTGCCCCCTCATCTTCCTCTTCAATATCCCATTCATACCTGACCCTGGCCTTGTCCTTCTGTGGGTCCCCATTGTCAGACCCACCGTCCTCGTCATCCGATGCAACTTCCACCTCTCGAGCCACCATAACCTTCTTTTTAAGCTCGCAGTACATTGGTGCTGAATACGTAAGGTTTCGTAATCTTGCCTCCTGAGGTAACATAGGCTGTGTTGAACCATCGCCTTCAGTCATGGTGGGTCGGGATAAGTAACAAGGTCCAAACATGATTTCGTATCTCCGTAAAACAATGCCATCGTCGCTCTGAGGAGTGTTCTGATCGAGTGTTAAAAGGGAATCCTCATCGATCATCTCCACCATCGTGGTGCCAACGAATTCATCGAAGGAATCAAGCTGCTGTGAAACCAAGCCCTTCCGGTCAAAAAATGCGGAAATAACTGTTGCGCTCAGGAGATCATCAGGTCAGCAATCCCAAGAGACTAGATTTTGGGTTGAGTGACATACCTTGCCAGCAATCCTCAGCCGTGATATCGTCAGAGTATTCGTCCATGGTTAAGTGGTTGAGAAAGGTTTAAAATCGGGACGAAATAAAGAAGGACGCAGGTAGCGAGAGATGGTGGTCGGGAAGAAGAGGGAAGGTTACAGAAGTAGTGTTGACGTAGAGGGGAGATGACAGGTTGAGCAGCAACGGGAGCTGAGATGGAGGTGTTGTGAGGGAGAAAATTGATTGCCTCTATCTTGCTCAATGCCAACTACTTTGCCGCTGCGAGCTGACTAACGGGAAATTTTACGAAAACAGCCCTCCCATTTGGTTAAATTACCCTACCAACACGATGAGCGAGAATGCCAAGCGAAAACGCGTGATCAGGAACCCAGATGTGGTACTTGTACCACAAGGATTAGGATAGGTTCAGTTGTAGGAGGGAGCCATCTTGCGAAGGCGCAAATGTTCAAGACGGAAAAAAGCCCAGTAGACAATTGAAAAAAGGTGGAGCATGTGAGATCACTTAGAAGTATTTATTGATCCATTTCACGTCATATATATCGTACCCTACAAGCTCCGAGAAACTTCCGAAAACATATCTGCCGGAAGAGAATAGAAAAAGAAGAGGAAAGCGAATAGCGATAACCATCGTCAATTAACAATGGGGTATTACCAACTCTCCTGCCGTCCCAACCAGACACCGACCGTACCAAGTAAGCGGTAAACTACGCAGTTTTGAAAAGCAAGACTGCGAGGTGTCCGACGTAGAAGTAGATGAAATTTTTGGTTTCTAAACTTCACATTAGGTATTGGCTTTTTGAAAAAGGGAGAACATCTATCAAATCCTTACCATGAGTAACAAAACTTCCGAAGTTTCTTCCGACAATGCAGTGCCCTAAGATCTATTAACAAATGCCCACAAGAGATTGATCACAAGGGAGGAGGTACATGTGCTGCCAAATTTGGTGTCAAACTGCAGAGCAAACATTAGCATTCTGCCGGCGGATTAGAGTCCGGGTGAAGCGATAGGGATTGACCAACCTCCTTCTTGATATACTGGGCAATATCCTAGAAGCAATGTGAGAGAGTGTAAAGAGCCTGGTGTAAAGGATGTTCAAACCTTCTCGACGTTGTTGCTATTTATCGCTTTCTTAGCTGCAAGATAGTAGTTGTTGGTTAGCCCTCCATGCAATCACGCTACGGTATTGGATCCTAGTAAACTGGTGCATAGAAACTCACCAACGTCGATGGCGATAGAAGACATCTCCTCTGTCTAAGAAATACGGATTAGAAATTATAATGGCACGACCTATTGAACTCAGACATACCATATCAACAGACTTGATGGTAGCTAAGCACTCGCGACGTTAGTGTACCGGTTTGCAGGAACGAAGGGGCCAAAGTGAACGATTTCCATTTAATCGGGAGTCAGAACAAACTTACTCTTCGGCTCAGGGGTAGTGCTTGGGGGTGCGGTAGCCATCTCGAGAACTTGGAGATAGTGATAAAATTGAACTGTTGAGAAGGGTAAGTGGATGTGACGTAGACGATAGATGGCGGAATCAAGTACCGGCACAGAGACGAGACTTAGAAGGGGAGTGACGAAGAAATTTAAGGAGATATAAAGTGAGGGAGGAGGAGCGGGGGTATGGCACGAGAGAGGGGTGAGATTACTGCAGAATCGGTGCCCTCGGGAAGGGTCTGGTGTTGTCAGGAACAAGGTTAGATCATTTGCTGTTCATTTATCATGCTTGTATTCTAGAGGGCCAAGCTTTTGCCAACACGTGAGTTGTTCATTGCCTTGCTCGTGGTATCATGCCAGGGTCGGGCAAGAAGTTATTGAACAGCTATTTGATGTTAGCCAGTAAATTACATCCTTGTCTGTTTCGGTTAATGGGTTCCCACTCTTGCACTACCGGTATTGACCAATACAAAGGTCAGATAGAAAGTTATCAAAGAGTTATTTGAGGTTAATCAGCAAACAAATACTTATCGATTCCGGTTAATGAGCCCTACCCTTGTATGCTCCAAGGATTGAATTATTCGAACCTAATTCATCCCAATATGGGAACTGAGGCATAACCGATCTGAATACCGTCGCGCCAAGCAGGCTACAAGCCGCAAACCCTACCAAACTCTTCTTCCTTTCAACTGCCAAGATTTCCTTTCCCTCTCAATGCTCCATCACTTACCCTTCCCCCTCTCACCCTTTTCCTATTCTCACCCATTCTGTCTCCCCTTTCGAATCGGAATTGAGCCCACCCTTTGAGCCACTTTATTGGCATGTAGGCTCTTCTTCTACTCCATGTAACATCGATTGCTATAAACTACCTACTAATATTTCGATAGGTCCACTCGTATTTTCGTCCGCGGACTTCCGCCAAAATTTACGGATGATGACTTCAAATCGCATTTTTCCAAGCAAGGAGCCATAACCGATTGCCGGCTTATCCCGAGTCGGAGAATAGGATATGTCGGATACAAGACGCCCGAAGAGGCTTTAGCAGCCGTCAAGTATTTCGACAAGTCATTCATTCGGATGTCACGGATTGGTGTTGAGATTGCGCGAGCAGTATGTCATACCCACCAATGGCGTTTGTCCTTCTAACGTATAGGTATCATAGGTAGAAGATGAGAATCTTCCGCGAGCATGGAGTGCGCATACGCCCGGGTCAAGTGCGTACAAGAGGAAACATGAGCCATCTGCTTCCCATAGTACAACAACAATGTCTCTTGAACGAACAGGCAAACGCAAGCGGTCTGATATCGAGAAAAGCTCGAAGCACGGAGGCCTGGAAAATGATCTAAAGTTTAAAGAGTTTTTAGAAGTCATGCAACCAAAATCCATGTCTAAGATATGGGGCAATGGAGATTTGGTGTCCTTTTCTCAAGACGTTGGGGTGCAGGCCTCACAGCTAGACTTTGTTGGCGTGGAGGGCAGTGCTGGGGAATACGAAGATATCCCAGCACGAAAGAAAGGGCCAGGTTCTTCAAATACCATGGCTAGGGACGTTGATTATAATAGACACCAGAGTCCTCTAATGGACCGCATGCAGCTAGGCGATGGGGAGCTGTATAATACTGCTGACGAAGGAGCCACTGGTATTTCGGACGCTGAGTGGTTGCGATCTAAGACAAGTCGTTTGCTAGACTTGATGGATGATGTTGAATCACGTTTGGCCCGTGTATCAGAGATTGGTAATACAAAGCGGGACACCAAAAAAACTAACGAAGTCGATGAAGAAGAGGAAGAGGAAAAGGAAGATAATCAAGCCGAGGAAGCAAACGAGGAGAGATCGGGACAATCCAATCATGCCAAACCGGAAACGGAACAAGCGATTCATGCAATATCACAAAGCGGCAGATTATTTCTCCGAAATCTATCCTACTCAAGTACAGAAGGGGATCTCCGGCAATATTTCGCCCCTTACGGCGATCTTGAAGAGGTTAGCGACTTTCCCTTTACATCTTAAAAGCCTTATTTCCTCTGTCTACCCTTAACTCCTTTCTGTTGAAGTGATGAAATCCTTTGATAGGGACATCTTATGCTACGGCACATGATTACTCCTTTTGGAATAATAGATAGTAAAATTTCTGATTAAATCCCCTTTTCTTTACCCCTATGTTACCTCGCGCCCACCTAACGCCAGAATTATAACTCACGTTCGTACCACTATCAGGTCCACCTACCAGTCGACAACAAAACACATTTAAGTAAGGGATTTGCGTATATACTCTATAAAAATCCCCAACATGCAGTGCAAGCATATCAGTCCTTGGACAGGAAGATATTTCAAGGTCGATTGCTGCACATCCTAGCCGCTTCCCCTAAACGCGAGCACAAGCTGGACGAGTATGCTATCTCCCAGCTGCCCTTGAAAAAGCAGCGAGAAATAAAGAGAAAGGCAACTGCTGCGTCAAGCACTTTCAATTGGAACTCAATGTACATGAATGTAATAAATTCTCTCAATCTCCGGTACTGTTGTTTTTTTTCATTTTTTTCCTGTACTAATATGTGGTAGGCCGATGCCGTAATATCCTCCGTCGCAGATCGCCTCGGAGTTTCCAAAGCAGAATTACTGGACCCCACATCCTCCGACGCTGCTGTCCGTCAGGCGCACGCAGAAACACATGTGATCCAGGATACTAAAGCCTACTTTTCCCAGCACGGGATGGACCTCAAGGCATTCGAAAAGCGAGAAAAGGACGACAAGACAATCCTCTTCAAGAACTTCCCCTACGGGACCAGAACAGAAGATATCCACAACTTGGTAGAGCCCTTTGGCAAAACCGCACGAATGCTCATGCCCCCAGCGGGCACAATCGCTGTCGTAGAGTTCATCGACGCACCCGCTGCAAGAGCAGCATTCGCAAGTCTAGCCTATAGCCGCTTCAAAGAGACTGTGCTCTTCCTAGAGAAAGCTCCAAAGGGCTTGTTCATCGGAGATCCCACTCCCAAGATTGTCGACGCACCGAAGATACCGGCGGCGGTAGCATTGGGTAAAGACCCGAAAGTCTCTGCCACGGACTTGCTCCTCCCGGCCCATACCTCTACTGCCACGGATGAGGCAGAGGCAGGAACGTCAACACTCTTTGTCCAGAACCTAAACTTTACGACTACAACCGCTAAATTAACTGAGCTATTTAAACCAATCAACGGCTTCCTCTCAGCACGCGTAAAGACAAAGCCCGATCCTAAGAACCCGGGCGGGACACTATCCATGGGCTTCGGCTTCGCCGAGTTCCGCAGCAAGACGGATGGAATGGCGGCCATGGCAGCGCTAAACGGGTACGTTCTGGACGGCCACAAACTCTCCATCAAGCCCTCCCAAAAGCACACTTCCCCCTCTTCCTCCCAAGAAAAATCTATTGCGAAGCGCACCAAGATCATAATCAAAAACCTCCCCTTTGAGGCCAGTAAGAGGGAGCTTCGCGCGCTGTTCTCAGCATACGGCACCCTACGCTCCGTGCGTGTGCCGAAGAAGTTTGGTGGTGCCACGAGGGGCTTTGGGTTCGCGGATTTTGCCACAGCCAGGGAGGCGCAGGGGGCTATGGACGCGTTGAAGGATACGCATTTGCTGGGCAGAAGGTTGGTGCTCGAGTTTGCGGAGGGGGGGGCGGAGGGGGCAGAAGAGGAGATTGAGAGAATGCAGAAGAAGGTTGCTGAGCAGAGTGGGGTTGTTGAGGTTGCCAGGTTGAGGGAGGGGAGGAGGAGGAGGGGCGGGGATTTGAAGGATGGGGGAGAAGTGTAGTCATACATTGGGGGGATGTATTACTCATGTCAAATCAGAAATTTTCTGGATAGTTTGGTTTATTGATTTTACGGATTGTATTTGTTTGTTGGTTTGGGATGGTCATACAATCAGTTAGCCAACAAATCTCCCCCACGCCCATCCCTCACACGAATAACGATCAAAGTATTATACCAGCTAACCCAACTGCTATTCAAACCTAATCCTCCTTCCATTCTCCTTCCTCCCACTTCTCACCCTGCCCTGAAAAACCCTAACCCCTAAACCCCTTACCCTCTCCACAGCATCCACACCCACACACTCGCACCCCTCAATTCCAATCCACTCAACTCCCCCATCCCCACCACTCCCCACACGCCCTTTTCCCGCTCTAACAGCAATATTCAAAACCCCCACCCCGCTGAGCCCAGTAAACCCCACATCCACACTCCGCAACCCCACAAACGCCGAAAACTCCACGCTCAGCTCATCCTGGAATGCGGCATTCCCCTTCACCGACAATGTCTGCAAACACTCTACCAGGCCACTCTCGCGCAAGAACGCGAACGTGGCAGTAAAATCTAGCCTCGGGCACATCTCTAGTCTGAGCGTCGTCAGACATTTGACGGGCGTAGGGGGGGAAAGGATTATTGTCAAGGTTTCCACGGTGAGGCTGGGACTTATGTCGAAGGATAGGGAGCATATGGAGGGTAAAGGGGATAAGAGGAGGTCGGGTGTTGTGTATGTTGCGAAGGTTTCAGTTATGGTTAGGGAGGTTAATGATGTGGGGAATAAGGGGTAGCGGGGGCGCGAGGGTTGGGAGTAGTGGAGGGTTGTGAGGTGTGGGAGCGGGGTAAAGTTCAAGTGTTCGTCTTCTGAGAAGATGGAGGCACCCGGGAGTTCGAGGGTGTGGAGGTTTGGGAAGGTTTTCAGTAAGGTGGACTTTGTGCATGAAATTGTTAGTGAACGAATGATACTTCATGATGCAGGGAGGCGATTTACGAGAGTAACAGTCAGGTGAAACTCCGACTCTATAACATCAATCCTAAGTTTCCCCAAACTTCGCAGAGGGGCATCCTCAAAAAGCAAGTCAGAACCCCTCACCATCCCCGTGGCATGCGCACTCTCAAAGATCGCCTCCTGAAGCCCCCCCGCCGCACAACAGCGCAGTATCATAAACACCACCTTAACATCTAGCACAAGATCCAAAACCAGGGATCGCAACCCCCTAATCGCCCCATCCCTGACAGCACCTACAATTGCGTTATCCCCAGACGCCTCACTCCGGCAAACCTCGAGCACGCTCAACCCAGGACACCGGGCAACCAAATACCCCAACAACTCCCCACACTTCGACCCCAGCCGCGCCAGCCTCGCCACACGCACACCACCCCGCGAGGCACGAACAAGCGCTTTGAACGTACCACTGCCAACAGACCTCCGCGCCTCGCGCAAGTCCATCGTAGCGAAAGTAGCCGGCACAGATTCAATGAAGACCCTCCAGCCGCGCGAGACCCCGCGCGCAAGCATTAGAGTGTGGAAAGGGAGATGCAAAAGCACTATTTGCGCCACCTCAGAGGGTAACGCAGTGAACGGATCACGGTGCTTACGCTCGCTAGTCATCGCCTCCCGCCGAGTAATCCTCGAGCGCACCCTTCTAACTTGCGCTTCTAACCGCTCCCGCCCGACCCCGCCGCCGCTGGGGAGCTTGTTAATCCCGTATTCGTATAACCTAATTGCGTCACCGTCCCTTCCTAGCAACTGCAATACCTTCCCGCCGCGTAAGTACCCCTCCACACCTGCCGGTTGTAATCGCATCATCGCGCGGGCATTGCTCAGTGCATCCGTTAGGTTTGCTTCACCGCCGAGTTTTTCTTTCGTGGCTGAGAGGTTGTCCAGTATGCTCGCGCGCAGGGTCGCAGGCAGGTTTGGTTGTGCAAGCGCTGTGGTAAAGTGTCTTAGGGCTGCTTCGTAATTGCCCGAGGAGTAGGCTGCACGGCCGGTGGATTGGTGGCTTTCGGCTTGAGCTTTGGGAGTCGGCATTGAGTCGAGATTGTTGATGATGCGTGTTCACGTGAATGAATCAATGAACGAATGGGCTATATCTTAAAGTACGGTAGGGTAACTCCATAAAGAGACGGTCTAAAGGTCTCACAAGTCGCCTCCCCTCCCGGGCTAGCCGTGCCGGGTATGAAGGCTAGTCTAGGTCTGTCGAGGTTCCTCAAGTTTACTCCAGCCATCGTGCCAAGATTTCAGCAGCCATTTTTTCCTTCAACAAAAATTAGTATCTTGCCAACATAGTTGCATACCGTACCCCTGTACTTAGGTACTCGGGTATATCATGAATTCATGGTACAGAGCAGGGGTCTGAGATTAAACAGTAGTGGTACAGCGCTTGTCAGATGTGTTCCATAATTTTGTCCAAGTCAGAGGTATTGAATTTAACAAAGCAGGAACGAGAAAACAAAAGATATCATAATCATTACTGGTTGTTACTGATAGTACATACTTATTTGCCTCCTGTTTCCCTTTCCAATCACTTATTTTTCCGGCACAGAGACCCAAACACAGGTGTATGCGAAAGAAAGGAAGGGAAAGAAAGGAACAAAGGAAAGTACAGCCAATAAGAATAAAATATGAAAAGTAATCTGGTCATGGAAATTGGCCAGAGATAGCATATAGGAATATAATAAATTGAGATGCATGAAGTTAAAAGTCAACTTGAAGAATTAAAAGGAAAAAAGAAAAAGAGAAAGGCTAGTATTTGGTATGGCCACTGTTGACATCTACAAGGGCGTCAATACGATCGAGCATTGTCTTGAGAATTTGGCTCAAATTATGTTTAGTGATCACATCCCACTGGTGGCTAATTGCTGCTCACATATTCAAATTATACTGAGGGTGGGGAAGGAGCTGGCTGATGAGTGATTTCATCGGTTTCCAAACAGATTTGATTGGGTTCATATTGGGAGAGGTTGCAGGCTAGGGGAGGAGGTAGTCATAGAGGCCATCTTCTTGTAGTTTAGTGATTGTAGAATGGGCCTGATATAGTAAGGCATTATCCTGATGAATGTACACATAGTCCTCCATGTGGGTAGACTCCTCATGTCAGAATAGATTTAGATGCAGTAAAATGTATATTTGATACCCCTATACATTCATGGTCTTACCCCATGTGGCTTTATCCCAGATAATGAGAGGACCTTTATGGTGGCCAATAAAACATCACTACACTATGATTGACTTTAGCTTTTTAAATTTGAGCACAAGGCACTACTCCTCAAACTCCTCCTCAGGCCTTCTAGTCACCCAAATATGCCCTGGTACTCCTCCAACATTAAACGAACATTCGTCTTCAAATAACCTTGCACCAGTCACTTGTTGCCCAAACCTTATACATATGATCCCAGGATGAGCATGCCTAAAGGTAGTGTTTGGTAATATTGGTAGTGGTCTAACAAGATATTAGAATTATGACTTAAATATCATCCTCTGACATAAAAGCTTCTAGTGAATGGAAAAAGAGAAAAAATAATATTTGTCTTTATAGGGAATTGTATGAGATCAGCAAAAATAGTCTTTTGACTTTTACTACCAGGAGCCAGTATAAAGGCTTCGAACACACCAAAGTGGCCTACCAGTAAATGATTTCCAAAGCTTAGTAATGTTACAAAGTGGTGTATTTGATTACTAAATGGCTGGCTCTTATAGTTGACTAAACTGATATAAAAAATAAAGAAAAAAGACAAAGTTACACATACTAGCTTTGTATTCTGAGTGAGAAAAGGGTTCTTTCGGATAACCTGGCAATGGTACCTAGCGAAGGAGATGGTTCTGCTAAGTGTATGGACACAGGCTGAAAGACCTACCAGTCGTGCCATTTCTGAAAATGGTTTACTGCGATTCTCAGAAGAGGCTGTAGCCAACTGGATAGGTTTCTTGCGATGGGGAGTATGTAGTAGGAAGTGCCAGCCATGAACATGACGACGAATTGGAGTAGCAGGTGAATGGGTAATATAGTATACTGTGGAGAGTGCAACTCTAGTTGCAGAGAAAATTTGGTGATATGGCCAGTGTAGGTAGTGTTTGAGAGTGCGGATTTTATGACAAAGACTAATGTCAACTTCGACATGGAAAGGATTGGTTCCAGAAACCTCTTGCTTTGAGCCAAGGTGAGTGACTAGAGAAGCAGGAAGTGGTGTATGGTGCTGCTCAGTTGCATATTCAATTGGGATTGGGGAAGTTCATGGAGGTTTAGCATGCGCATTTCTGGATTCAAGGTTAACTGGGCTATCAATGATTGTGGGTAAAATGGCTTCTTGAATAAGAGTAGTCTGATATAGTTCTGAATTAGAGTCAATAATATACCCTAATTTAGAGTGAGGTTTTTTAGAAGTTGTAGAGGTACTAGAAGGCTTGTCTATAAAGGAAAAATAGGAATCATTATCATCAGAGGTTTTAGCATCAAAAAGCCATGCTCGTAGATCGTTCGCACTTCCAGGAACAGGGAGCAGATTGTGACTGTAGAATTCTAAAGCCATTGTATAGATAGAGATTCATTGTATAGAACTATGATGTATTCTATTTGGACGTATGCTCAATTCAAGCTCATTTATATTTACAAACTATTCACTTTTTTATAAGATATCACTCAACAACTTTCAACCAATGTGCCCTTCCCTCGTATTGAATGGTAACTTTTGGATTCATAAGACAATTTTTACATTCGAAGTTCTCCTTCAGCATCTAAAGAATATAAGTACGATCTATTTTACTATTTTGACCTACCTTTCACTAGTATTCAGCTAAGCGAGGATACCAATATTACTTTGTTTCTTAACCAATTAATTCATATAAATTGTTGCGCATGACCCTTGGTTGGAACTCAAACTTTTTCCTATGTTCCAAAATTACTTTTTCAACAGAGAACAACCACCCCTGCTCTGGACCATGAATTCTTAATATACACGAGTACAAGTTCTAGGGTTAAATCTTTTACAATCTGCAATATGGGCCATCAACTAATTATATAGTTTTCTCTGCCTTCTTTTATTGTATCATTTCTTATTGTAGGATGGATTTTTACTTGAGGGCTGAATGCAGTGTAATATCTTGTAGAGAGTAGGGTGAGGCCTTTAGGTATCACCAGAGGGATATTAAGCAACTTGAAGAGTATAATGTAAAGTCTTCCAAATCAGGACCAAGTCTACTGCACCCTGGTAATAACTCTATTTATTAGGATTAAAAGTGTTAAATGCTTAAAATTGTGCTTCGGAATTTGGAATTTAAATTTGCAAATTGGTTTTACTTTTCTCAACAATTTTTATTAGTATTATTACTACATAATACTTAAATTATCTATTCCAATTTCAACTATTTCTTTTTTTTTATATAAATATACTCTTAATATCTATATATTTGTCTATTATTTTATAAAATTTAAGTTTAGTACAGTTTCTCAGCAAAGGTCTTCGTGATATAAGACATGTTTTATTATATTGATTATGCCATCGGTGTCCATGGGTTGCAGTCAACGGGCTATGTGACAATGTACGATGGGCGAGGTTCATGACAGTTCAACCATGACCATTCAACTACGATCAATCATTATCATACAATAAGTATAGAAAATTAAAGTTGGAAAAATAAATGATACTATCCCTTACATAAATTAATGCTTTGTATATTCTCTTCTTACTTCTAGAACAGCTGCCACCCTGTTAGGCATAAACTTCCACAATTTCTCAAAGAATTCAGAAGAGATTGTAATTTAAATGAAAGGTAGAACCTCACCCTATTTTTTCTTCATAACCTTTTTTCCTCCTAGAGTATCAGCTATCCTAGGATGCTGCAGGTGTAGACGCTTTTTAAGTTGTACTCATATATGCTCAATAGGATTCAAATCAGATGAATATGAAGGATGTGCTATAATATTAATATTACTATCCTCCAGCCAATCCATAATACTATATGCCTTGTAAACAGGAGCATTATCTTATTGAAAAAGAAAATGATAATTAACAGGAATAAGATACCTTCTTAACAGTTTCACATATCTGAGCTTAGTAATAGTTCTGGTTACAGGATCTAGTGGTTCTTTAATATTACACAAGAAACATCCTCATACTATAAGAGCAATACCCTTATTCTTCTCTTTAGGGTAAACACAATCTAATTGCTATCTTTTTCCAGGCTCTCCAAAATCTATTACTACTTAGGATCTTTAGACTTCCCTACTATACATTTATTACTCTAAATCACCCTCTCAAAATCCTCTTCTGTCTAATTTCTATGAGCTATAGCCCATCTCAGTCTTTCTGTAATGAGCTCTGGCTTCAGTCTTGGCCTAGACTTTGCAATTTATTTTTCAAATTTGCCTCTCTAAGTACTCGGTCAACTATACAAATTTTAGTAAGAGAAATCATGAGATATCACTCTTGCATACTTGTATCTAAAGAGACTCTAGGTGCATATTGATCCCTGAAATCACTTCTAGTTATTTTTTGATTGGCCTTAGCAACTCTGATAATGGCACAGCATTGTTGGAGGTTGAGGACTCAGGGGTGACTAGATTGTGGTAAATTGTTCAGGGATTGGTGTTCAGTTACGTGCATAAGAAAGCATTTTACTGTTGATCAGGGACTACCGATTAGGCTGGCCACCTGCATGATACTTCTAAGGCAGTAAAAAAATGAAATGATTATTCCTTTCTTGGTATTGGTTATCTCATAGCATGCACTCTTTGGATTGGTTTTAGGGGTGGCGTATTTTTATTTTCCAAAACATTTAACCAAAGTATAACAGGTAGTACTTTAAATAAAGATAATCGAAGAGGGAGGTGAGACAGACAATAACATGAATGGTAGTTAAAAACAATAAGTAACATGATCATGGAGGTTTACTGGCATGTTGTTAGTTGATCATTTTACTTTAGTGAGGCTGGATGACTAATCTCAGATACTCTTTCACAAAGACTTTTACTGAAGGATTGTATGATACTACAATCACAACTTTTCCTGCCAATTCTGGTTACATAAGAGAGA